GCCATCTCTTTGTCAGGCCCCCATTGAAGAACAAGGAACATACAAGGTGTCATGGTAAGGAGAGTTGCTAAGAGTTTGAGGCCAGCCTGCATAGTGAGTTCAAGGACAGCTTGAACTATATAGGTAGACCCTGTCAAGGAAGAGACTCCCTGGGAATTCACACTTCCAATTCACTCCTAGTTCTTCTGTAGGGTAGAGCCCCAGACCATAGACACCTTCTTTGCTCTGAAGAGCAGGACCAGGACCTTAGACATTAGCTATGTCATAGTTGACCAGGTGGTTGCAGGGGCTTTGACCCAAGATATCTCACAGCAGTCACTAGTTGGCTTCTGCATCCTGCAGAGATGCAGAGAGCTGCAGGTGGAGTGGGAATACTAAGAGGCTGCGGTCTGGCCACCTACCTCACCCCACCCCAACAGTATCTGCTCTCTTAGCCTGGAGAAGAGTAGCTCTGACTTCCGCCTGCCTTGGCCTCATCCGGCTTCAAGGAGGTGGGCATCCACAGGGTCCAGTGTGGTGGCAGCTTGCCTTCTGCCTCCCACTTAGCACCCAGCATGGTGCCACAAGTCACTTTGTGCATCCAGGACAGAGGCCTGGAGACACCCTTCTAGGGACTTGGCTCTGGGTGGGGTTCTGGGAGGAGGGGAAGGCAACGCCTATGCTGGCAGCTGTCCCAACTTGGTTTGGGCTGCTTCCTGTCCTTCCTGCTGCTGTCCCTACACCCGGCTTTCATCACCTTACAGCTGGGCTGTTACAGCAGCCCCTGCCTCCAGCTGCCCTGACTCTGGGCTCTGCACATAGTAGGTACTCTCTGCACACAGCAGCATTCTTAGTGCCCAGTTCTTGAAATGAGAGAGGTCAGCGGTTTAGGACCCCACACTGAAGGCCCTCACAGTTCTCCAGGGTCATTGCTAAAGGCAACTAGTTCCCAGTAGGAACTACAAGCTGGTTCTCAAGTACAGATGCCTTTCTTCACTCAATGTGCATGTTGAAAGAGAACTCAAGGGGAAGGGCCAGGCAGGAACTCAGGAGCAAGAGTCCTGTGTTTTTCCTGCTGAATCTGGTCACCCTACCAGATCACACTTGATCCATCCCCACAGGGCATCCAGCATCCAGACCAGCCATGTAGTGGGTGGTCCATGCAGTGGTGGGAGTCCTAGAGACAAATGGAGCTTTGGCCAAGCCCATCAGGGCTGATGGGTCTGCCCGATCTGGTTCCTGGGCCAGTACTGCCCCCTCAATTCCAAGAAGCCATCCATGGCAGGGCTGTAGCATGGGTGTGGATTGCCTCCTACCGCCCCATTTCCACATGCCTTCTCTCCTTGCAGTAGCCACTGAAACCAGGAATATCCTGGGCTTCACACATGCTGCATCCATAGTGCTGTGTGGAAAGGATGTTCCGGCTCAGGGACCAGACCCTTCAGAATAACATAAGTCTTAGAGTTGTGCATGTCATTGCTCCTGCCTGGGTTGGGCCAGTAGGTAGAGGGACGCAACAGGGTGTGTCAGCTCCACATGAGAGCTGGTATCTTGTCTTGCTTTAGCTCCCCCACTGATTCTGCAGGCCAGGGAGGTTGTGTGGCTTCTGCTCTGCCCTCCAGATGGGAGCATGAAGTGAGGGACTTTCCCCTTCTGTGCCAGGACCTTTGTCTGAGTAGCTCTCAGGGGTGTGTGCAGACATAAAGTGAGAGGGACTCAGGAGACAGTCAACACTGGACACTGATTCCCATCTACTGCTCAAGGGCAACTGTCTAGGGAGAGCCATAGGCCTACTTCCCTGAAGAGGGGTGGGACACTGGGTGCAAGATCTGGGTTCTGCACACTGTTGGGGGCTCACTGGGGCCAGGGCCAAGGGGACCTAGGCTTGGCTGCCTGGCTGCGGAACCCATCAGTCCCACTCCATGCAGAGAATGCTTTGTCCTGAGAAGTAGGTAGGCATCCTGGCTGCTCTGGGGACCTGTGGGTTGCCAGGGGAGACTCAGGATGGCAATAGGGAGGCTGTCTGATTAGAAAGCTTTGACCTCCAAATGGACGAGTGCTGAGCCTGCAGATAGGCCCTGAGCAGGGCAGACCACACTGGGCTCCTAGGCAGCTCCTTTATCCAGCACTTTAGACTTCCTCATTGTGCCTATCTGGCCTCTTGGGCTCCTAATCTTGTCTTTCATCTTCCACACTACCCTCTGGCTCTAGCAAACTCCAGGGCGTAAATGACCGTAACCCATTGGGGGAGCCCTGAGAGACCCAAACCTCTTGACTCTATACCTTTTTCAGTCCAGTACCTTGACTCATGGCTTCTCAGACCACTTTCCTATCCCCAGGTGGATACCAAACAGGGAAGACATTACATGACAAGGCCCTCTCCGACAGGGTGGCCAGGCTGGGAAGATGGCCTGAGACCCCTGCATTAGGCCCTGGTACCCAACCAACAGGTCCTCCTGTTAGGCATAAACAGTAATCACCACTGCTGTCAACCTTTCCTTATTAGGCCAACCAGCCAGGGGCCAGACCCAGGTTTGCTTGGCATATGTAAGGGTCATCCTGCATGCTCAGTCCCTGCCAAGTGCCCATGGTGGTGTGCTGCCTTGAGGGACAGTAGGGAGGCATCAGTGGGAAGAGAATAGGATGGGGGCTGAACTTCGATCTGGGGAACAGGCTCTGGCTGGGAAGGGCAGCCAGTGAGGGACCATTCCTGGATAGAGGTGGGTGCTTGCATCCCAGGGGAAACTCTTCTGGGCAGGGCTTGAGGAGAGAGAACACGCTGATTTTGGGAGGCAGCCTTGCTGGGGAAGTGCTCTTCCCTTGACCCACATGTGGAAAACTGAGGTTCCAGCAGGGAGGCCACCTTGCCATGGTGTACTTTTGTTTTTGCTTTTCCTAGACTCTGAGCAGGGCTCTGAGCAGGTGTGCAGGTGAGCAGGTGTATATCTCACCCCTGCTGCAATCAGTGCCACAGTCCAGGACCCTCCAGCGACTGGCCTGTGGAAGTGGGGCCAGAACACAGAGGTGCTCGCTCAGAAGCCCGCTCCTAGGATGAGCAGTGCCAAGTGTTCCAGGAAACGTCTTTCAGAAGAAGCCAAGTCGCGCAGAGCCGACTCCTTGGCCCCTAGCTGGATGGACCAAGGAAAGCAAACATGGGAAGCGGGAAGCAGTTGAAAATGAGAAACTTTAGCAAGTGAGAGTGCTTGCTAGAGGCCAAGAGCCTCCAAGAGAGAAACATCACGCGTAGAACATGGCCGCGGCCTGCCAGGCCACCCGCTGGCGGTGCGTTCTTTCCATCTGCTGCAGCTGCTCCTCGCTACCCCACTCCCTGGGCTCTGTCCTCCAGCCCACCCTCTTCATTTTCCACCAGGCAAGGCCCACCAACCCCCAGCAGAAGGGATCATGGCAGGAAGGGCCTGGAAGGGGCTCAGCCTACACAAGGATTATTCCGGGGTATCCCTCCCAGCCTCTCCAGAGAGGGCTCCGTCAGCCCTCCACTGCCTGGGTATCCCCAAGGGCCTCCTCAGGGCATGGCTATTTACAGCCTCAGAGCTCACTGCTGTCCCTGGAGGCAGGAAGTTTGGGCACTAGAGACAGCTGGGTAGCTAGGTGTTGGAGTCCCCAGGAAGGGCATGAGCTGAGAGCTGACAGTAAAGTGACAGAGCAGCTGGATGGCTCATGTTTCCTTGCTCTCTCGGCTCTCCCTCTCTCTCCTGGTGGCCCCCTCCACCAACATTTGCAGACTTCACCCTCCCTGGACACCTGTGTGCAGGCCTGTGACAAGAAGGGTCCTCCATGGGTTCACCACATGGGCTGTGATCTTAGTGGGTTCCTCCAGGAACTTAGCTCCTCCCTGGGGACCCACCAACTGCTAGGCTATGGAGATCACCACATTCTCCATGGCTTGGGCCAGGAGGGGTTGGCGGGTGGAAAACAGGGGCCCTGATCGTCACTACTTTCCATACTGGACTCCTTCTGTACCCAATTCTGCCTCATGAAGGGGATGTCCCAATGGTCCCTTCCCACCCAGCTGTCCCCACTGGTCTTGACAGTGGCAAATGACACCTCCAGCTGTTGTGCCCTTGGCCTTGGCCCACTGCAGGTACCACTGCCAACCTTTATGCCACTCTTGGGCCTCTGCTGCAGAGCAAATGGGTATAGTCAGGAGGCAGTTGGCCTTGTTTGGGCCTTTCCACTGCAGGGCCACCTGTGCCCTCAGGGAGGCCAATCAGAGTAGCCATTTGCACAGGCACGTGGGCTATGGGACAGGGCTATTTCCAGCTCTGGTATGGGTTTTTCTATCCTCTTCCCAATGAGGAAGAGAATGTAGACACCCTGCCTAATAGGCGCCTGCTAGGCGCCCAAGACCCCAAAAAGGGCTGGAGGAGGGGAGCGGAAAAGTCAGTTCAGGCCTGTCCAGCACTCTTTCTGCTCACGAGTTCACAAGGTCAGCTCTTGGGCAGTTTCGAGCCCCCCACCCCCACCCTTTTTGGCCTTATCAAGGCCTTAAACCTTGTTCTGGGAGCTGGCCTCTCCTCTAGTCCACATAAGCTGAAGGTAGGCAGAAGTGCTGGGCTTCATTCTTTCCTATTTTTCCAAACTTCTTGACCCAGGCTGGAGGTTTCTTATGAGCTCTTAGGGTACTCAAACCCTTCCGGTGGCCACTCCTTGCCCTGGTGCCTCCATCATATAGCTACCTGGCCTTAGAGTTGAGTTCACCAGGTCTTGTAGGATAAATGAAATCTCTCCTCACTTGTGTGCTGATGGGCTTCCACGGCCACTGGCACAGGATAAGATGGAGCTAGGAAGTGTTTTAGGGATGGTGGGGTGAGTAGTCTCCATCACCTGTGATGACAGGCTGTGTGCACGTAACTCTCCTCAGCCTCCCGGAAAGCAAAGGCAATAACCTGTCCTGCACCGAGTCTCCCTGTTCTTGTCATTTCTCTTTTACCCTGGAAGGCCAGAGGAGCCAGCACTGCCCATGGGCTCTTCTCGAGCGGGCTCTGACCAATGATTCTTACAGGTCTCAGGCCACGCCACATATTCATGAGGGCAGCAATGGAAGGAAGGTCAAAGAAAGGTAGGTGGCGCATGCACTCATTAGCATCCTTAAATATCTGGACTTACTACAGAGCTCATGCCTGCCACCACAGTTACTGGCCAAGTACAGGGATAGCGCAGGCCACACACCTGGTCAAAGAGGGTGTTTGCATAGCTAGTGGGTGAGTGAGGTCCTAGGGATGCTAGTACTCTCAGGCCCCAGTCTTGAGGAGGTCCTGGAGGGAACACAGCCTAGCCTTTGAGGGGAGGATTACTGAGTTCCTAGTAGGTCCCAGCAGCCTTTGTCTAGGAAAGGGAGTGGGGTTATAGCTCCATGGTTGCAGCAGCCAACTTGCTCCAAGTGGGCTGGAATCTGTAAGACTGGTCAGGCAGCAGAGTCCTGTTAGAAAAGGGGCGAGTCCAGCATTCTACTTGGAGGCCACAAGCACAAGCCAGGCTCCCTCGGCCACCCCAGGTTGTTTCAGCTTGGGGGTCCAGGAATGCCCACTGTCCAGACATTCCACTGCCCTGCCACAGGTACCCAGGCTGAGCATCTGGCCTGGTGCCTTCTAAACCAATCCCTGTGTAGCCTTTGTGCCCCAAATGAGGCCCTCAGGGACAGTGTCTAAGGTGTTTTCATGAAAAAATATGTCAGTAAGATCTCATTTGAAAGGCACAGGAGGCTAGGGGCTCACAAAGGGGTGTTGGGGACACTTCTGGGGATGATTTGTCTCCTATATACCCCATCTACAATGTCTATAGGAACCCCATGCCTTTGGCATCTTGTCCTCAGGACTCTGTGTAGAGCTGAGGGGGTGTGTGCAGTGGTTTTGGGGTCGTTGGTTTGGAAAGAGGGTCTGAGGATATCTTCTGGGGCCAAAAAGCCTGAACCAGCAGAAAATGCCGGCAGTGGGTGGGGAAGGGAGCCCTGGCCAAGGGACGGCTCGGTGGTGGGGGCTGTGGGGCCCGCCGGCCACAGAGGCAGAGCGGTCGGGTGGGCCAGAGCCTCAGGGTGATAAATGGCTTCCCTTGGAGCCAGGCGGCTTTGCCAGGGTCTCAGTCCTCTGAATTCAGTCTTGTTGACCCTGAGGCCCAGTGGGGGCCTTTGAACAGGGCTGCTTTGTGGGTGGACAGGGTGGTGATTTAGGGGGGTTATTGGGGTGGGGTTTGTACGTGCAGAGCTGGCACTGGGGGCAGGAGGGGTGTCCAGAAGGTCCTGCCAGCCTCAGGAAAGCTCAGCTTTGGGGAACCTTGGGCCCACAGCCCCAGGGGTCTGAACTCAGAGGGTTAAGACCCCTATGTTGATGTTCTGTTTAAGGAAAAAAAAAAAAAAAAAAAAAAGGCAGCTTGCCGTGCTCGGTTCTCAGTGCCCATGAAGTCCGCAGGGAGCGAGGCTTCCGGGGGGGCCATGAGGAGAAGCACAAGAAGAGTCTGTCCTAGACTCACTGAGGGCCCCACTGTGTCATGTAGGGACATGTCCCTTTCCCATTCTGGTGCTCAAAGCCTAGGGGATAGGACAGACGGGGGCTCCTTGGCCTCTTGTAGCTACTGCCCATCCCCAGTTCAGAGAATCTGTACCGTGAGGTTGTGAGCAGAAGGGCCCTCAGCCCCTACAACCTCATAGGTCCTCCCCCACTGGCATCTCTGAGGGGAGGGGAGGCTGGAGCCAGCTGCACTTTCCCCAGAGTATTTAGGATGAGGTGTCTCGATCCCTCTGGTGTTGGTGGGTGCCTGTCACCAGCACAAACTGCCCCCTACCCATGTCATGTCTTTATTCCCACGGTCCACAGCTACAACCCACAGTCCCTGGAGGCTCATCTCAAGGAGGACCATCTCCTGATCAACAGTGGGAGGCAGAATCTGAGTCTCATGGGCACCTGGGCACCTGGAATTATGGAAGGTAGGTGGCTGATAGCACATGCCAGCCCTGAAACCCCTTTTTGCCTGAGCCTACTGGTCAACTGCGGCTTCTTGGTTTGCATTCTTCCCCTATGCAGGGGCCCTGCAAACCAAGAGAAAGGAGGCTCATGGGTCCTGGGCAGCTGCTGGAGTTTGGGTAGGCTGGCCGCCTGCGTCTTTGGCTCCCGAGGACCCCTTGGCGCTGCAAGGCCGGGAAGGAAGCAGGCTGGGCCTGCCATGGAGCTTCTTGGACCTCACAGGGCCTGTGGCTCTCTCTAATTGCTCTTTCTAAGAAATCCCTCAAAATCTTTTGCAGGAAGGGAAGCCTGGGAGGAGAGGGCCAGGGGCCTCTTCCAGGTCGGCTGATGTATGATCAGCCTTCAGCAGCTTGCCACCAACCTCAGCAGCCTTGGGCCTTAGAAATGAGTTTCCAGAGACCCCAGACTCTGGTTCTAGGCACAGGGAACCCCAAATTCCACATTGGGTGAGGCACCCTCTCTCTCCTCCTGCCCCCATGGAGCCGCCCAGTCTGAGTGGGCCATATGGCTGGAGCAGCCCAACCTGGAATTAGGGAAAGAGGAAAAAGTGACTGGGCGGGCAGGAGGCCGAGCCACGATGCCCACACACACGTGTTTACCCACTAGGGCCTCACCAGCCTGTGAGGCTGGTGGAAACCATGAGTCGGTTTGAGCAGAGCCATCCCTCCTCCCAGCCTGGCTCAAACAGGGCTCCCTGGAGCACCCCCAGCACCTGAAGCTTGGGTGAGGCCACGCAGAGGGCAGGAGAATGGGCCCAGTGGCATAGGGTGAACAGGGCTGGGGCTGGACACTTCAGGTAGCCCCAGAAGGCTGTGAGGGAGCCTTGCCTATGTCCCGTCCCCAGTCTGCATCCCGTGCCCCTAACCTGGGACTCCCATTAGCCTGAGTGTGCAGAATGTAAGGGCTGCTTAAGGTTCTCTCTTCTCTCTGCTACTCAGAGGCCCCTTACCTCTCTGCTTACTGTCTCCTTTTTCCAACCTGCACTTTCCAGGACAGTTTAGCACCTTGGTCACCAGCTCCTTCAGCCCTCCTGCTGTGCCCACACAGGGCCCAGTGTCACCTTTGGAAGCTCTGCTGCTGGGGAGCAGTTTTCAAACTTCCTCAGTGTGAGGGGCTTGGCAAATACCTGTCCTCATTGGGCTGGTATACTGCAATCTTTTGTAAGATGCCCAGAGAAGGGGTAGTCTAGGGCCCTTATGGTCAAGACCCAGAGGGCAGATATGAAGGAGCACGGGGTACAAAGCAGCCTTAATGGCAACTTGGATGCTCTACAGGGACTCAGGTAAGTGGTACTCACTCACAGATGACCCATGCCTTGGAGTCACCTAGAGCATAGAGACCAGAACCCAGGGACAGCTGCAGGGAAGGAGGCTAGGACTCTGGGCCCAGGCCTGCTGAGGGCCACATAGTCCCCTGGGAAGCAAAAGGAGATGGGTGAGGCCACTTGTCCACCATGTCAACACAGATCTGACCTTATGCCAGAAGTCCAAGGGGGTGGGACAATCATGTGGGGCATTACTAGGCCAGAGGGCCTCAGAGTGTCCACAGCCCTATGTGCTGACCCCTGGGAGGCTGCACAGGGATGAAGAGAGGAAGGCAGCATCTTGATACCCTTAGGGATACTCAGGGTGTGGGTGGCTTCTCCTTCAGGACCTCACCAGCTTCCTGCTATGGCCCGACATTTAGCTCTATGCAAAGAGGTCACCTGGCCCAGCTCAGCTCCTGTCAAGTAGCCTGTGGCCTCCACATGGATGCCTTTCTCCTGTTGGGAAGGAGACAGGGATTCATGCTTCTCTCTGCTTCCTGTGGACACCAACCATGGGAGCATCAGCCATGTGTGTCCAAGCCCCCACTTGGATCCAGACTCCCTGCCCAGGATACCTGGGGTCTGGGGCCCTGTAGAGGCATCACATCCTGGACACCATGTGAAGCTACAGCATGCTTCTGCTTCCCACTGGATCAGCCCCAAGCCTGGTCCCTCTCATCCCTCCTACTACAGTGGACTGAGCCCAGGTGTCACCAGTCCAGGTCCCTCGGCAACTGCCTTCTCAGGGACAGGCATCTGACCCCAGCTATGGAGAGACCTTTGCAGACAGTCCTTGTCTCCTTCTTTGCTGGTCCTGTGCTCTATGGCAGCTGTCCCATATGCTGGGGGAGGGAGGACTCCGTAGGGCCAGAGGATGGGGGCGTCTATAGGAGTGGCAGTGGCACAGGCACACTTCCTGGGGCTACTGAGGTCTCTGGGAAGGAATGGCAAGGGCAGATGGACCTTCTACTGTGAATATGTTGAGAGGGGGCGGTTCAGATGGAACACGTACTTGAGCTGTGAGGCATCCAGATTCAAAAACCTGGCAGGGGCAGGACTTGGCATTGGTGAAGGCGAAGAAGGGGCATGCAGAACAATGAGGGTGATCACCCAGGAACACCTGCCTTGCTTGCAGCCCAGGGTAGAGATAGGGGTTCACCCCTTGCCACAGACGCACTGTCCTGCCAAAATGCGGGACATCAGGAAGAGAGAAGTGTCCAGAACTGTCTGTCAGGGAAAGTAGGTCTCCTGAAACAGAATTTTGTGTTGACTCAGCCATAACCAGGCCTAATCCGTGTGGCGCAAAGGCCAGGGCAGTAAGGTTGGGGTAAGTGGGATCCATTGGCCTCAGGAAACACTAGAGCTGGGCCCACTGGCCTTGAGCTGGGACAGGTGGTGTTTTGTATATGACAGTCATTTTGACTTGCAGCTACTTGGCCTGCCTTGGTAGGGATGAGAGGGTCTGGGGGACCCAGATCCCCAGGGAAGACAATGGCTTGGTAGGTGTTCCTTTTCCCTGGAACCCCCTATGACTTGTTGCCCCTCTTGACGGTGGCCTGATCTGCAAGTCCTGCTCTAATGAAGAGTCCTCAGACTTCTGCCACCAACTCCAGGAATACAGGCTACCTGGGCCTGTGACACATTCTTTGCCAGAGGCCAGGGCTGACATGTGACCTTTGCTACTAGGATTCCCTCTCACTTTGCAAGGGTCTGGTCTACTCTGCTGGCTTTCGGTTCTGCAAGCACAGGAGCCTGGGCAAGGACCCAGGTCTCCTTAGGGAAGAAGCCACCGGCCCACATAATCTCTACGTGCCAGTGATGAGTGGGCAGCATAGGGGTGACCACCTTGTGGAACCCTGAAGACTACATGAAGACCACTAAGGGCCCTAATTAATCAGCATGGCCTGGCTCTCCCTCGGCAGCCTTAGAGGGGTACCAGTCATGCTATGGAAAGGCTCCAGAGATTGCAGCCAGGCCAGTGCATCCCACATCTCTTAAGACCCTAGGACTCTCTCTGTGCATTGAGTGCACAGAGGCGATCTTATTCTGTGGGGCAGTCCTAGAGCTGAGTGCCCCTGGTCACCACTCAGCACTGAAGGTAGATGAGACTCACAGGCCCCCAGGCCTCCCTTCCTTCTTGCTGGAAGCTCCTGGAAGCCCTTTGCCTCTTGCCTCCACGCTGGCTGCTCATGGCACTGCCCCTTGCTAATTCTCTGCCTTCTGCCTGCATCTTTCTCCAAGACTGAGCATTTTTCACCCATTCTCTGTGGTAGGCACTACCAGACACCTGCCCCAGTCCTCATTCCAGCTGCAGGAAGATCATGGTCACTGCCTTTGCAGGGTCCCCGGACTCACTCATGTCCTGTGAGGCACTCCCAGCATCCTCTCCCAACTTCCCACCCCCACCCCACATGCCCTGAGTGCCCTCTCAGCCCTGCTCAGCCTGGGCCCTCTGTCCAGCTACAAGCTGCTCACAGCAGGGCAGGCAAACCTCAGCCTAACCCTGGATTCCAGGCGTGGGGCTGGCTGCCGGCTGCAGAGATAAATCGAGGAAGTCTCCCCTGGCCCTGGCCCTGGCCAGCCCCCTGCAGCGGGCAGGCAAGGGAAAGGAGAGACCCCAAAGGCCTGTTTGCTGTCCCAGCTGGGCTCGCCGCGCGCCCCTGCCTCTGCCCTGGCTCTGGCCCCATCAGATCTGAGGACGTAAGTCCATGGGGGCCCATCCGGTGCTCTGGCCTGGGGGTAGGGAAGGAGACAGAGCCACTCCTAAGCAATGAGGAGGTAGCTTCCAATCCCTAGCTTCTCAGGAGTCTCCAGGGTGTACCCATTCCTCCTCAGCCCAGCTGAACCCATAGTCATCTTCCGTAGAAGAGGCTTCAGGAAAAGAGCAATTTAGCTCTTTCTTCTTCCATAATGAGACCTTCAAGAAGGGAAGGCGCTTGGATAGAAAGCAGGAGTATACCTCTCAGGGTCCTGCCACCACCCATTGAGAGTTCCTGTGTTCCCAAGCTAATCTGCAGGGGAAGTTCATGGTATCAGGTCCCTGTAACTCTAACTTGCCCAGGATCCCTGTGTCCACACAATCCTGGTCCTTCTCCTGCCTCAGACTGCAGCGTGCTGTCTGATGAGGCTCTGGCTTTGGGCTTCTCAGAGTAACTGCTTGGCCTGTTGGTGTGCTGGGGACATCCCCTAAGCCTCAGCGCCTGGGGCCTGTGTCTTCCCTAGAGCACACAGCCCTGCAGCCAGGGAGGAGGCGTGGCCAGCAGGTGAGGACACCGGATGTCCCTGCTGTAGAGGACAGGAGAACAGAGGAGGCCTTGGGCCTACCATGCTGCAAGGAGCTGGGGACCCAGTAGGGTCCCTTTTTCTACAGCTTCTTGTCAGCCCCTTGAGGAGCCTTAGTGGTCAGTCTTCCAGGAGACCCTCCCTCCATGGGTCTGGCTTTAGGGGTTCACACACTGACAGTGTGGACAAAGGCTCAGTGTAGCACCTTGTGTTCCCAAAATCTTTAGCAAAGTTGAGAACAGCAGGGAGGGGCCATGGGAGCCCTGGGTTGCAGTTGGGAGTTCAGTGTGAAGCCAGACTCAGGGCTCCCTTTGGGCTGACTGGAATATGGGTGGGGCCAAAATCGGGGGGCCTTTGTCTGCAGGATAAGGACTCTTGTCAGTCAAGGAGAGGAAGCAGAGGTGGGGGCAGCAGCCCTCTTGCTAAGACCTACAGAGGCTGAACCAGACCTGGAATGATGCGCCCTTCTCTCAGGCTCCTGGAGGTCCTGAGGAGAAGGAAGAACCCAAATTTGGGGGCGTCACAGAGGGGGGCTGGGGTCACTTCCTGCCTGCACCCCCCAGAAGCCCCACCTCAGTGGCTAAAAGGATGTCATGTTAATCACTGACCTCACGGGGGCGCAGGAGACAACAACATATCGGCCCTGTGGCGAGGCGTTCAACTGGAGAGCCCGAGATTGAGCTAGCTATGTCTGTGAGGCGCCTCTGTCCGTTGGGCGCCCTGAAGCCTTCAGTCTCTCTTGCCTCTGACCACTTTTCACTCCCCTCCGGCTCTCTCCACCTCTCCAGGGCCAGGCTTTGGAGATGATGATCTTAGGCCACCCAAGACAAGAAGCACTGGTCAGTCTGTACATTTGGGGGGCAGCTGCTGGGTGGTGTGACGGGGGCACTGGAGAGTTACAGCAGTGACTCAGGGTCATAACCAGCAAAAGGGAACTGGGAGCCCTGGAAAAGCCTGAGAAGGAAGAGACCACTGCGCAGAAGCCTGGGAGAGGCTGGGACTGGACAGGCACTGTTGGTGTCCAGGGCCTCAGAGATAGCTGGAGGCCTGCTACAGGGGTGGGGGTGGTGCAGCTGGGAAGGGAGGGGGTGGTGGGTAAGACTCAGTGACAGAAGTGAGGAGCAAGTAGAGGGGGAAGATAGCCCAGGGAATCCAGGGATATGTAGGCGGTAGCTGGGGGAGGGGTTTGCACAGAAGCAGCATGGGGGTCATAGTGCACCCACTCAGGGACGGTTTAGAAGAGGCTGAGGGCGGCGGAACCCGGATAGCTAGGGAAGTCCTCTGGGGATTGTGGCAGAGACAAACTTCAACCCTCCCCTACCAGAGCCCGGAAGCCATGGAAGATCGCTGAGCAATGGCCCCCCAGCCAGGTGCTACATAGGAAAGTGGAAGCATCTACCTTTCTCCTTCAGTTCCCCAAAGGGGCCCCCAAGATCACAACCCAAGTCTGGCCCTGCTCAGGGGGACCAGCTCCCCCACCCACTACTGCTGGGGTGCTGACTTTTGTGCCTTTTGTGCCTTCCCATTGCAGGACACGCCCAGTCCCTCCCTCCCAAGGCTCTGGGCTGAGGCGATATTCCCAAGGGCCATGGAGTTTGCATAGCAGAGGCAGAGCAAGACCAGAGGCAAGGAGGGACTTAGAGGATCAGATAGAGGCAGCCTCCTTCGCATCCAGCTCCCAGACCTCCGGTTCTTTACGGGCCTACAGCAACAGCTTCCTGTCCTTCGCACAAGACCCAGTAGGCTCTAGTTTCTCAGCCTTTGTCACCTGAGGGGACAGAACAGTGGAGAGAAACTGAGATAGAGAGTGCCAGTGGCTATTGTTTCTGAATCCCTGGAGCCATCTCCAAGTCATGTTTCAGAAACAAAGAAGTGCTCTCTGCTCCTGGCATGTCCTCTTGGGCCTCAGTTTCTCCATGTGCTCTTAGGTCCTGGAGGTGTTGTTCATGACCTCGGCACTGCATGAAACCAAGACAGGACCTGCTGGTGGAAGGAGAAGTTCTACTCCTCTGGGGAGCACTGGGCTCCCCAACCTGGTGGTTTGATCTGAGAGGGGGCTGGCGTGAGTCTGGTTCTAAGGCAACCTAGAGCAGCCAGGAGGCCTGCAGAGTCTGAGTCTTTTCCTTTCTGCATCTTCTCTGAGCAGAACATGGCTGGGGCAGAGAACCCTGGGGGAGTTCGGTAAAGGGGAATGGTGTTGAGACAAGGCAAGGGCTGGGTGTCCTAGATTCGGGGACAGGAGGGGCTCGATGGATGGACATAAGAGAGTGTACTTGGCGGGCTTCCCTGCTGGCCACGAGGCCTGGAGACTGGGAGGTGAGCCTTTTTGTGATCAAAAGCTGTCTTATCAAATTTGCTTTTTCTCTAACCTTTGCTTCCAAGCTTGTGCAATGTCCCTCCCTGTGGCCTTCACCTTCATCTGGGGGCCATGGCTCACAGCAGCCCCCTGGGACATGCTGCCTCAGGCAGCTGGAGGGACAGCTTGAGCCCTTCACTGGGGCTGCTGTGGGGAAGAGGCCAGTGCTGTCACCTGCTTGTGTCAGTCAGCCCAGCCTGCTGCCCCAGGGCCCGGTGGGCAGCAGTGGGTGGGGGTTCTGTGGGTCTTAGTTTGCTAGATCAGGGCTGGGACTGAGCCAGAATGGTGGCTGGGGCAAGGCTGAGGTGGGGAGATGGCCCAGGTCGGGTTCAGGTGGAGAAGCCAAGTTCTGTGGGTATTTGGGGCCTATGAAGGGGGCCTATGAGGGTCTTCCTTTGTTTGCTAACCTGAGTCACTTGAAATTCTTCTTAAATAAGTACATCTTCATTCTCCTCCAACAGAATTTGACTTATGGAAAATACCCAGAAGGCAGAGGCCCAAGGTGAAAAAAAGGCCAGGAGGAACAGAGGCCCAGGTGGGGGAGGGATGGGAGCAAAGATGGCTGTGGCCAGGAGCAGGGCCAGAAGGCTCTTACGCCCATTCTTCAAGGGTGACAGGCTGTGGATAAGCAAGGCCTGAGGCCCCCTGTCCTGGAAGAACCACCTGGTAGACCACTCCAAGGCAGTATGTTGTTCCTGAGGGCTCCTGCTATGGGGCAGGGCCATCCAGAAGTCCCTTGATGCCCCTGTGTTTCTTTCAGAGGCTTCTAGAAAGAGGGAAGGGTTCTGAGCTGTTCATCTGGGCCTTAGGGACCCTGACATCCCAGCTCCCAGATATGCACAGCCCTTCTGCTGGGAGCCCCCATGAGCTGCCCAACACCCCCGAGACACAGCTAATTCTTGGTGAAAAGATGGGGAAACTAAGGCCTTCTTTTGCTCGTAGCCCACAGATGCATGTGCGTTCAAGGGAGAATGAGTGACTCACATTGGGTGCTCAACATCAGCCCACCCAGACATGCTCAGAGATACAAGCAAGGAACACAGTATGGAGCCCAATGCCAGGGGTAAGTAAATCCCACAGCATGACATGGCAAAGGCCCCATAATTACCTGTGAGCCCTGCTTGCACTGCAAGTGTCCCTAGAGCACCTGCAGAATCTATGCCCCAGAGGAAGGCCTAGCCCATTACAGAAGTCCTCAGGAATGAAGGTGGAGCTGCTCTGCCAGGTCCTCACCATGGGAGCAGGAGACCCCTCTCTACTCTGCATCCTCCACCCTCCACCCTCCTCTCTCCACGCTCCATCTGCTGCCTTCCACCCCACCCTTCACCATCCATTTTCTATGCTCCCATCTCCACTCGTCACCCTCCTCTTCTACCTCCATCCTCCATTCCCTGCTCTCCATGCTTCACTCTTCACTCTCTGCTTCCACCCTGAGTCATTTTTGTTCTCCACTCTGTGTTCTTCATTCACCACACCCCGTTGTTGGTTCTCTGCCCTCCATTCTCCTCATTTCGTTCTTCTCTCCATTCCCCACCTTCTAAGTCTTTCTTTTCCATAGTCTATTTACCATGCTCTGTAACCTATGCGGTATGGCCTGCGCTAATACACTACTATCCACTCTCAACTTTCAATACGCTCCAATCCCTTATCCAGGCGCCATTTTGTGTACACTTCCTCCTTCTCCATAGCCCGCTGTCTTTGTTCTTCACACACCATTCTCTGTCCTTCACACTCCGTCCTCCACTCTTGATTCTCCATTTTCCTTATGTCCATTTTACATTCTTCATACTTCAGTCTTTGTTCCCGATACTTCCTCTTTACAAAGTACTTTCCATTCTCCATGTCTGTGTACCTCTCCATTTTACACCCCAATCACAACACTCTATACTTTATTCACCGTGTTTTACCCTCCTTTCTCCCTTCTATTTTCCCAAATGCTGTTCTCCATATTTCATTCTGCATAATCCACTTTATATATCTTATTCTTCACCTTCCTTGTGCCGTTCTCATTGTACCATTCACCACGTGGTGTTCTCCCGCTGAGCATCATAATCCATTCCTCGTGCTCCACGTTCACCTCTAATCACAGGCTCGATACTCCACAGTCTTTTGCCCACTTTTTATTCTGCCTTCTCTCCATTCATCTTGTTCCATATATGTTCTCTATTTTCCACACTTATACTCCATTTTCTTTTTTTTTTATTTTGTCTTTTTCGTTTTTATCGGTACCAGGGGTCGAACTCACGAGTGCCTGCTTGCAACGCAGGCGCTTATGCCGCTAAGCTAAATCCCCAGCCCTCATACTCCATTTTCTATTCTATATATTTTAGTCTCTGTTCTCCAAATGCCATACCTCACTACTTCAGTACCAGTACACCAGTGCACTTTATTCTCTATCCTAATTTCTCCATACTACAGTCTCCACGTGCATTTCCCATGTTCCATAAGCCTTTGTCCTAACTTCATAATACCTTCCATACACGACTCACCACTCTCCATCTCTGTTCCTGATACTTTCTGTTCTCCGTATTCCAAGGTCCACATTCTGTATTCCCTTCTTCATTCGTGTTCTGTGTTCATACCTCCACACTGTACATGGTATTTCATACATCATTCTTTATTATTTTCTGTGCTCCATTTTCATCTGCATTTGCCATTCTTAAGTCCTTACTTCATCGCTAGACTGTGTTTCATTCTCCATACTACAGAAACCATGCTCCAGCCTCACATTCCATTATCCCTTTGACACACTGCATTCTCCATTCACTCTGCATTCTCCCCTCTCCACATCGCATTAGCAATACTCAATTCCCCATCTTCTGTGCTCTATTGTGCACACCATAGTCCATTTTCAATTTCCATACTGCATTCCCCATTTTACATTCCGCTGCGCTAGCCATTCTAAGACTCCATCCATCATATCAGCCTCTTTCTCTGTTCTCCAATCCATTTTTCATTCTTTAGGCTTTTTGTTAATTTTTCACACAACATGGTCCATTCTCCATACTCCGTATTTCATTTTCCATACTCCGGGGATCACACTTCATTTTCACTCTCTTTTGAGTCTTATACAGTCCATTCCTTATTCCTCTTTCTTCATACTCTATGCTCCATTTCTGTAACCTATTCACCATTCCCCACCACTCGATACTTCGCTATCTGTACATCATTTCCTAATGTTGTATCTGGCAGCAAGGGGGAAGTCTCTCTGAGTGATCCTCCACCTCTCTTCGGGTCCTTGCTGTCACTCCAGTGAAGAATACACGGGTGGGACTCAGCAGAAAATAGAGCTAAGACTGTTACAGTGGGAGGTAAAAGTTTATTTCAAGTGTGGTAAATGTAGAGAAACTATCTTAGCAGCAGAATAATGCTACAAATTAGAGGCACCCTGCTCAGGATACGCAGTGAGTGTGAGTCGTGCCTCATACCTACAGAGATAAGCTGGTTTCTGAAATTAACTGTTGCACTGGTTGCTGGTCTAGGCCAACCTTAGCCTTTGTTTCTGGGAAGAGGGCAAGGCTGGCATACGTAACCGTGAGCATCACTTTTATAAGATACAGAAGGGCACATTTTCTCAAGGACATGGGACGCGATACGCACATATTGGTCTTACAGTTGTCAACCACAGATCAGCTTGTGATGACTTTACATTGTTAATCATCGGGTTTCACACTGTGTTTTTCCTGCATACCTCTGCCCCTAACTACGTGCACATGTTTTTGTGCACAGTCTGCACTCCGTTCTTTATGCTTCTGTATCCACACACTGCATTTCTCAGGGCTCTGTTCTGCGGCTCCTCATTCCTTTCTCCCTTAGGCACTCTCCCATTCCTCCTACTCTGTGCTCCGTCCTCCACATCCCCTTGCCCACTCTCCTTCCTTCACCACGCTCCATTTTCTACTGTCTGTGCTCCACATTCCGTCACATGTTCTCCATATTCCATTCTCCGTGTTGTATTCACCCCATTTTATTTTGGTTCTCACATTCCACACTGCATTCTCCATGCTCTACACGTCATACTATATTCCCCAAGCAACAATCTCCATGTTCGAGTCTCAGTTTTCCACATTTCATTCTTACATATTCAGTCTGCCATTCCCCATGCTCTATTGTCTATATTCCACTTCTCTATTCTTTAATTCTATATTGCAGACCTAAATACTGCACTCTCCATACCCTGTCTCCATATGCCATCCTCCATCACCCTGTTTCCGCATTTCTTTCTCCGTTTTCTTTTCTTCATTCTTAATGATCCATACACCGTACTCCAACCCCCATATTTCACTCTTGATTCTCCATTTTACATACACTATTTTTAAAAGTTCCATCACCTACTCCTCATTCTCCATTTGCCATACTCCATACTCTATTCTCCATATTTAATGTTCCATTCTCCATTTTTATTCTTCATTCTTTGAACTCCATTAACCACATACTGCATTCCCATTCTCTGCATTCTGTTCTACAATTTACACAGCCATTCTCATTCTCCATACTCCGCTGGAAATGCAAATCTCCAAATCCTCGGGGCCATACTCTACACTGCATTCTTCATTCTCCATACCCCACACTTCATTGTCCATATTCTAGCTCTGTTTTTACCCTCCGTGCTCCATTGCTCATCTCCATCCTGCATGCCATTCCTCGTGTTTCTTCCTCCATTCTTTATGTTCTATCCTCTGCACTCCATGCTCTACACTTCTTTCTTTATAGTCCATATTCTGTTCTCATACTCTGTCTCCTTTCTCTGTTTTCCATACAGTATTCTCCGTTCTCCACATACCACTCCCCATTTCCACAATTTATATATGCCATTGTCTGCACATCCTCTTACTCACATTCCGTACTCCATTCATTATACTGCATATTGCATTATCCGTGTTTTATATTATATTCTTCATTCACCCTGCAACATAATCTGTCTCCACACTCTGTTCACCTTTCCCAAGATTCTGTACTCCATTCTCTGTTTTTCATGCTCCAGTGTCATACTCCAACTTCATTCACCATCATCCATAGTCATTACTCCATGATCCACGTAGAACATTGACTACCCTGGTCTCCATAGTCTATGCCCTACCCTCTGTTTTCATTTCTTTGGGCTTTTTTTTTTTTTTTTTTTTTTTGAGACAGAGTCTTGCTGTATGCTTCAGGTTGGCCTTGAACTCATTGTGTAGCCCAGGGTGGTCTCCGACTGGCAGTAACCTTCTGCCTCAACCTCCTGGTGCTGAGGTTACAGATGTGACTTGATTGCCATTTACACATTTCCCCCTTTGAAACAGTTTAAGCTGGCCTTGAACTCACTATGTAGCCCAGAATGATTCTGAACTCACAGCAACTTTCCTGCTTCACCCTTCTGGGTGGTGGGATTACAGGTGTGTGCCACCACGCCCAGGGCTATTTCCGCTTCTTAGGCCATTCTCTATAACCCACTCTTATACACCGCTTTTCATACACCATGCACTGTTTTCCACACTCCACGTCACTGTCTATACCGATAATCTACTGTCTATGTATAACCTACTGTCCAATCTCTATTGGCCCTGACACATTTTTCATACTCCATGGTCCATTGTTTATATTCTATCTTCGATTCCATATTCTCTGTTTTCCGGTTCCACAACCATAGAACTATCCATTCCCCACTGCATCCTTCACCCTCCACACCCCGTTTCCATATTCTATGCTCCATTCCCCACTCTACCCATTTCGGACTGTTTTCTCTGTATCACTTCCTCAGACCCTGCACTTTATACACATACTGTTTTCTTTGCACCCCACCCTCCGTTCTCTGGTACCCAGTGTTTATCCTCAATCATTGTTCTCCACCCATAATCCATACCCTGCACTTTACTGTCTGTATTACACACGACCCTCCACTCTCCACGCTTCGTATTAATTCTCCACTCTTTACTCTCTGTGGTTCTGATCCATCCTCTATACTCCATCCTGTATCCACTCCATTGCCTCCATTCCATATGCTCCACCTGCCGTGATCCATTATTTATTACTTCATTCTCCTTACCACATTTACCACATTCTATATCTCATACATCACTATCC